GGATGGATGGATGGATGGATGGATGGATGGATGGATGGATGGATGGAGGGGAAGCAGGAGCTCCTCAGAAGGTGAGCAGGTACTACCTGACCCTTCTTCTGTCTGGGAATGAAGCCTAGAGCCACCACCATGCCAACAGCCCCTGGTTGGGCAACCATGGACCTGCTTTCTCCCCACACTGACTGAAGACAGCACAAGCCCTTGAGCCTCTCCACGCCTACTGCTACTATCCACAGCACAGCTGGAGATGGCCCACAGGTCTTGTTCTCCACCATGAGGGCCTGGATGTGACCCAAAGCAGAAGCTGAGGGGGAATGACTAGGGGGCAAATCACAGAAGTCCAGTGAGAGAAGAATGCTTTAGCAAGAAGGGTGAACCTGGTGTCACTGGATTGTTGTGTCCTCAACAGAGGCTGGACTTGCAGGAGAGCAAGCATCCCAAACCAGCACAGGCAGAGATAGGAACCCAAAAATAGAACTGAAGGGGAAAAAAAAAAAAAAAAAAGAAAAGAAAGAAACCCAACAACCCCAAATTCCCGTTTCTAATGCCAAATCCCAGCTTGCTCTCCTCCCTGTCACCCTGGCGACATTCCTTATGGTCGCCATGGAAACGGGAGGCATGGAGAGAGCATCATGGTGCGGGGTGGGGGCAGCGCCCAGCATTATTTCAGGAGGCAGGGAGACACCCGGGGCAAAACACAGGGAAGGAGGAGGGAAGGTCTATTTTTGCTCACTCCCACTTGGTGTGCCAGATTCTCCTTCTCTAAGCATCCGCATGCCCTTTGCCAACCCAGTGGCCTTCCTGTGAAGTCCCACTTGGAGCCTGGTGGTTCCCAGTAGCACCACTGGATATCAGCTCTCCTTAGGTCTTGGGAAGGCATGAGAGGAAGAGGACAAACTTCTGCTACCTGCAGTTGGTGGCCTTACTGTGGCCTTCCAGTGGTGGTGATTGGGTCCACCACATTCGGGACAAGAAGCAAAGAGGACCAGGGATGGCTGGACAGGGCCGTGAGCACCCTGATCTAGCTGTAGGAGTCCCTGTTCATTGCAGGGGAGTTGGACCAGATGACCTCTAAAAGCCTCTTCCAATTCAAACGATTCAGTGATTCTGCTGTGGAGGCTGTCCCCACCCCAACCTCAGCATGCCCATGGGTAGTAGGTGGCAGTCCCCATTCCATGGGGATCCATGGGTGTTTTCCTACCCAACCTGCAAATACGGCTGGAAAAGCCCAGCACGGCAGGTGCTACAGCGGCTGGGAGGGAAAACACACAGCCAGCATGATGGGCTGGGAGGAAATGTATGCAAATGCATTCCAAAAGGAATCTGGCGATGCTAATAGACTTGTTAGTAAGCACTGGGAATAATATTTTTACACTTTAATCATTAGGGACGATACTCCAGGCAAGCCCATAAGGATGAGCCAAGGAAGGGAGGCGTGAGGGAACCATCTAGGGGTAAAAGTGGGGACATGGAGCATCCATATCCCATCTCAGCACCGTGAAAACCCATTGGAGAAGAAGGGCTGTTACAAGATCGGCCACTGATGTTTCTGAATATGGTTAAATTCTGTAGCAATCCCTCCTCAGATCCCTTCTCCTAAACCTCTAAGGATGGCAGCACTTACACTCCTTGTGCACAGCCTTGTACTTAACGCGCTGCCCTGGTGGGATGGGACACGAAGTGACGGCAGCCCGGTATGTCACATCCTTGCTTGATGGGGCCACGGGACTGCCAACACGGCACAAGATGCTGCAGCGGCACCCCAGCCCACAGGATAGATGGCCCTTTCCCTCCGCCTTCTCTCCTTTAAGGATGCTTCCGCGTGTAACTTGAGACAAGTGAGGAAAAAGAGAGGAAGGGGTATAAAAAAAAAAAAGAAGGGGGGGGGAAAGGGAAAAATAGTGCAGTTATTCCCGCCTCCGCCTCCTCCTTTCTCTCCTCCCCAGTCAGCCAGGAGCCACGTCACCCAGCGCTGCTCCGGGGCTGCCGAGAGGACAAAACCTAACTTTGCACAGGCCCTGCTCAGAAGGGAAAGGCGGCAACGGGGACGCAGTTCTGGGAGAGAGAAAAGTCCAGGGACGTTGGGGCAGGGGACGTGGAGCCTTGGGAAGGCGGAGAGAAGAGAGCTGCGGACTCTGAGAGAAGGGAAAGTTCAGCCAGAGGAAAGCGTAAGCTCGGCTGAGGACGGAGCTCCCCGCGGGGTTTTACAGCTGCCCTCGCCCACCGCCGCCATGAACATCTTCCGCATCCTGGGGGACGTCTCCCACTTGTTGGCCATCATCATCCTGCTGGTGAAGATCCACAGGTCCAAGTCCTGTGCTGGTGAGTGCTCTCTGGGCAAGGAGGGGACCCTACTCCTCAGCTCTTCAGAGGCATCAGGCTCCACTTCCTTCCTCCCTTGCGCTGCCTCCCAGTTTCTTCTCCAGCTTCTCTCTCATCCCTTTCTGGTACACCCTGGGGTGTTTTTTTTCTTTCAAGCCCATCACCGGGCTTTGCTGTGGTTTGCAGCACTCCACAGCCTGGTGGATAGCTTCCTCGCCAGGAGGCAGAAGGATGTGCTGGAAGGATGTGATGTGGCACGGCACACAGCCACGGGGAAGGTGTCTGTGTGACAGCGAAGCAGAGGGGAGGAGGGTGATAAGGCAGAAAGTGAGCACAAGAAGGTTTGGTGGCACCAAAAGCAATGACCTCTGGTGAAAAGATGCAGACAGAATGCTGCTTCAGGCTAGAGGCCCTGTTTGGGCAAGGCATGCAGAGCAGTTGCTTCCCACAGAGCCAGAGGCTTGCAGGTAGATGAGAGGATGGGTTCAGCTGTGCTTGGCCATGTTTGCCACCCCACCAGTGGTGACAGCAGCACCAACACATGTGGGCCAGTCCCCAGTCCCACAGCAATTCACCACAATGAGATGGGCAGGCGTGTTAGGATGAGGGCTTTGTGATGGTGAGATCCTGGCTTCTGGAGAAACACACGAACACAAGTGATCTCAAAAAAAGCACAGGGCAAAACCCACATCTGAAGGGTTTTTCTTCTCTCACCCACCTTGCCTGTCTCTCCTGTCCTTGCCACACAGGTATCTCAGGGAAAAGCCAGATTCTTTTTGCCCTCGTCTTCACTACCCGCTACCTGGACCTGTTCACAACCTTCATCTCCCTCTACAACACCGTGATGAAGGTAAGGAGAGCAGCAGGGAAGCAGACGTTCCCCCCAGCTTCGCCATGGTTTCACCACATTAGTTTTTCAGCCAGAGGGAGGCAGGAGCAACTCCATCTTCTTTGCCTGTCACCAAAGCTAGTGGGTTACACACAGGAAGAGCAGCGAAAGGAGCTCCCTTCGGTGTCCCTGGCCCTCCACTGACCATAGAACTCGCTCACTGCGTTAAACAAGTGAGCCCACCACATTTAGCACCACCAAGACCAGCTTGAGATGCTGTGAATGAGGGCTGGGCACGCACAACTGTTGGCTGCCACCAAGCTGACATCTTAACAGAGAGCCTTAGAGTTCTTAAACAACAGTTACCCTCATGGTAGGGCTGAGTAGCAATCTGCAGTTGACCACAGGAGCACCTCCAACACCCATCACAAGCCAGTGTAGAAAAATTGCTCACTGCTATCTCACCACAGCACAGCCCAGCAGGTGAACAGACCTGGCTTTCGGCAAAGCTGACTGAAGCCAAGCTTCTATTCAAGCACAGGCAGTGCGACTGCAGGTCGGATCTTGCAGTTCTACTTCTCTCCCCCAGGTCATTTTCTTGATATGTGCCTACATCACCGTGTACATGATCTACGTGAAGTTCCAGAAAACTTTTGACAGTGAGAACGACTCCTTTCGCCTGGAGTTCCTCCTGGTCCCTGTGACAGGCCTGTCCTTCCTGGAGAACCACAGCTTCACCCCCCTGGAGGTAAGGAAAGCACGGGGCAGGAGAGGGGAGGGAAGCCTGGCACTACCCAGATTGCAGGATGGTGAAGAGCTCGGGTTTTTAATACCAAAAGCATGCAGGAGAGGCAAGGCTGGTAATCCATGAAGAGCATGTAATCTGTAGAGCATCTCAGCACTGCCTTCTCTCATTCCCCATGCTGTCAAGAGTACAGCTTTGAGTCTTTCCATGTCATTGGAGTCGGACTAGATGACCCTTAAGGGTCCCTTCCAACTCACACAATTCTACGACGATTCTATCATCACCACCACCTCCATTTGCACCTCACAGATACTCTGGACCTTCTCCATCTACCTGGAGTCCGTAGCTATCCTGCCTCAGCTCTTCATGATCAGCAAGACAGGGGAAGCAGAGACCATCACAACGCATTACCTTTTCTTCCTGGGCCTCTATCGTGCCCTCTATATCGCCAACTGGGTCTGGCGCTACCACACCGAGAAGTTCTACGACCAGATTGCTGTGGTCTCTGGGGTGGTACAGACCATCTTCTACTGCGACTTCTTCTATCTCTACGTTACCAAAGGTGGGTGAAAGTGTTGGTATACATTGGATGCGGTCATTTGGCCTTCTTGCAGCTTGCCAGCTGTTAATCCTTGAGTTCACTCCTTGTCTGTGTAGAAATCAAAACCAGAGCTCCGGCTGGTTTAAGCCCACCCTGAGAAGTTAAATGTTTTCTGGTACATTCATTTCCGCGTGCTTTCTGAGATTGTGTGAATCACAAAAAAACTCAGAGGGGGGAGAAAACAGGCAGGCAACGCACCTGCAGACGTACGGAGCCAATATTAAGCCTACTTTTCCTTTCGGTGTAGAAGACACAGCATTCCCAAGGACTCATTCTGCAGGAAGACAGGCATCTGCACGTACAAGACTCCGCAGATTCCCAAAACCAGATGCCAGCGATGGCTGCACAGCAGCGCTAACAGGCATACAATCTGGTAGAACACGCTACGGTGCTGAGGCTAAAGTAGGCTTTAAACTGCTCAGTTGCTGAGGAGGGAGGAATTTGATGAAACGCAGCTCTACAGACATTTTCTTCTTTCCTGTTCCCCAGCTATTCCAGCAGATCCTGCGCTGGGGGCTCTGATGGGTGGCTCTAAGCAGCTCCCTGCACTGTTCCTGCTAGTAGAGAGGTGATGGTGTAGAACAGAGGGCTGGCCTCGGTGGATTAAGATTTTCTTCTGTAATTGAAACATCTCTGACGTTAGAACATCACTTTGCAAAACCACCATCAAGGTGCCCTACGTCAATGCCTTTTTTGCCTCCCATCGCCCATTTTAGCTTCATTCAATTCACGAGTTCTGCATCCTTACATTCTGTTAGAAATCTATACCCTTTGCAGTTGTGGAAGGTGGAACAAAAGGGGAAGGGAAAAAAAAAAAAACACCTCACAACTGCTGGCTTTTGGTCTCACATCACTAAGCATAAAGCTGCAGAACTCAGATGACACAGGAGGGAGAAATGAAAAACATTTGTCCCTGGGACATCACAGCAGGAAGAGAATTGCCTTCCCCCCACCCCCCCCAATCCCCCTTCTTTTACACAACTGTTCTGGATCAAGGGAAAGGAGAAGATGGTGGGAGCTATGCAAATGCCTGGCAGTCATTTATGGCAACCAGAAATGTTGTAGCAGGTTGCATCTCTCTTACGCTTGCAAAAAAGAAAAAGCATCTTTTCAAAACATTTCTATCACAGGAGGGCGCAGACAAAAGGGCAGCGATTCTGGTAAGGAAAGCAAGGATGCTTTATAAAAAGAAACCTACTTAATAAGGTTACAAAGCATCGCAAAGGGATCCTTATATAACGCCGGTTCTCTTCATCTTGTTTTTAAAACCAGATGAGCCGCTTTCTGTTTAACGCAGGGACCTGAAGGATGAAGGAAACCTTCAGCTCCCCAGAACTTGTGTTTCACAGAACAGCTGAGGTTGGAAGCACATGCAGGGATCATCTACTCCAACCCCTGGTGTTTCTGTGAGGCCTGCCAGCCAAGCTTCCCACGGCACACCAGCAGGGGGATGCTTGCAGGCTCTGGCCATAAGGCCATTTATTCTCCCTTAAAAGTAATGAAGGTGTACCATGAACAGAAGAGTGTATTGTATCATAGGAAAAAAAAAAAGGGGGGGGGAATATTGGTTTGAAAAGCTGGCAGCCTGCTATCTGGTGGTCCAAATGATCAGATTCAGAATACCTGTAGAAACAATGGATCAGTTTATATTCCCAGGAAGCCTTCATTTCCATCTCTTTTCACAGTCCTAAAAGGAAAGAAGCTAAGCCTTCCAATGCCTGTTTGAAGCCATTTCCAGACAACGCCAGAAATTCCAAAGATGAAACTCTATTGACCACAGCTTTCCTTTCCTGGCCCTTGTTGACTGAAGAATGGCTCAGCTGGGCTTCACTCCAGTGCCAGGAAGACAGCGAGGCCAGGACAGCTGGTATGCTTGTCACCTGGATGAGACTCTCCCTCCATTTTGTTGCGTTTCTTCTCACTTGAAATCGGTGCTAATAAGTAGTGCTGGCCAATGCTAAGAAACACAGCTCGTTTTCTCCCTGCTCTTCCTAGCACCCACCTCCATAACATGCCTCTACCTTACCCCGAACCACCACAAGAAGCAAAAGGGAACTGTCACACTCCTCCAGTCCCCAACAAACGCCACCGTGAGGAGGGCGTGTTATCGTGAGTCTGATAACGTATACAAAGCTCACTGGCCCTGTGTGCAACCACAGAATCACCCAAGTTGGAATGAACCCACAAAGACTGAATCCCACTCCTGGCTCCACGCAGGACCATCCAAAATTCAACTGTTACACCACCGGTACGTGAACACCGCCCTCCAAAAACTGACTCTGCTTGAACCCCCCTCTATTAAGGTCGGCGTTACCTTCACATGGCAAGAATCTTCCGTTCCACAGGTATTCCAGCATCCTCCCCACTCACCCATCTCCAGTGAGGGTTCCTCACGTTCTACAGATGAGGGACATTTCAATTATAATTCAGTGGGTCGCCAACAGATGTTCCCAACCCCCTTGGATTTGACTTCTTTTAACAACTGGGAAGAACGGGGGCAAACGTTTGTTTTACGCTCCAAAAACAATAAAGACAAAATTCACAGTTTATTGACAACAGTGTTTTTATTTATACCTACAAAAGAAAACAAGATGGTATCAAAAGGACAATTTACAAACTAAGAATAGTAACATAGCTCTTAGTATCCTGTGCCTGAACACCACGGATCTATGAATCTCTCAATTCAAGTCTTGGTTAATACAACAGGAATGTGTTCAGAGACCAGCAAACGTGTGAAACGAGATGCTGGTCCCACACAAAGCCACTAACCCTTCCATTGCTCAGAGAAGTCCAAACAGTAAATTGCTTCAGGAAGTGGGAGGGGAGGAGACACCCGAGTCCTTACGACACTCCCACAGAACTTGTTACAGATTGAAAACAAACGCAAACGATACCAGAGGCTAATGCTTATCAACGAGGGCCCCCCAGCTGGTGTTGGAACAGAGCAGCGAGCACCAGGTGGGACAGGGGCAGCACGCGCCGCCGTGCGCTTCAGCGCTCAGCAATCTGCTTAACACTCCAAACTGAACCCAGACCCTGGACTTCAGCTGACCTCAGTAACAATAAAGCTCTGCAAGACTTGGCATCTGTATGTTTACATGTGCACAAGTCCCCCCCCAAATGAAGTAAAAGCGACAGCAAACTATAAGGCAGCTTTGGTGGCCCAGAGACCCTTTCTAAAGCCAGTCAGCAAGATGCCCTACTCCTACACCCCTCAGACACATTTCTGCATCAGTCACAAATTAAAAATAATAATAATAAACCTCTATGCTTGCTTGTGAGGGAGGCCAAAGACAGATCAGTCAGTGCCCGGCTAAATGAAATGTTTCTGGCTTTCATTGCTCGCCTAAGCAATGGAATTTGAAGAGGGGATGAGGGAAGCAAGGGTCTGGAAAAAAATCTCTCCCTTCTCCCTCTGTGTCAGCAACCTACCTGTGTGCTGCACAAACCAATGTGCATTTAGACCACAAAATTAATACTCTGGGAATTGAAAACAAAAAAAATAATCTGTATAAGCAAGCTTTTTGCCTGTACTATAAGTAGTTCCACTCTGTTAGGAAGGGGTGGGCTGCCTTGCTCATCCATATGCAAGAATGTCGACAGGGAGGAAAAAAAAAAAAACAGAAACCCCCCCCAGCAAACCAACAACCCAACGATCTGCATTTTCCTAATGCAAAGTTCATGCCTCACAAACCAGGAGATGTATCCATTCCTTTTGTCACGTTATCAGATACAGAGCGGCTAACTTCTCTCATCATCTACCATCTCTGAACCGTCTCATATAGGAAATAACAAGTCGACAACATGCTTTACTAAAGGGGAAACCCCCCCCCCCCAACACACACACCCACCTTAGCCTGTAAAATAAACAATTTATTTACTTATTTACTAAAATTTCACTCTTCTCTAACATTTTCTAAAATGCTACCTACCTGCAAGAGCTGAGCTCAAAGGGACCAATGGAACGGGGAAATGCACTCAAAGCCAGGAAAAGCAATAGTCAGAGCAAGGTACAAAAGAAAGAAAGCTTCAGAATTAAGATGCACTAACCAGCTCACTCCTTACCTCGTGGAAGGGAGATTCCAGGCAATCTCCTCCTCCGCCCTTCCTCCCCTCGCCCCTCCCCCAGCCCACCCTATTCAAACCTTATAAAGGTGGAAAACTCCATCCCATTTTGCTCAGTGTAGCAGCATTCAGAGCATTTCCCATGGCAAGAAGTGACTTTGTTCACCAAGGAAAGACTAACAAGATACGCTGTTGGTGGTCTTCATTCCGTTCGGTTTCTGGGCTCTCAAATAAGACTCATCTCCATAAACCCAACAGTAGGAACCTGAGAGCAGAAACTAGTTTAAGGGTAGCCAGGTTTCAGGCATTAATGACTCTGCAGTTTAACAACTGCAAGAGAAAGGACTTACTTGGCTGAACGCCGCAGCAGTAATGCCCTACAGTGACTTTACCTAGTTTTCAGGTACTGAATCTGAGACAAGTTTGGTCTTCAACACAGGGGTTTTAATCTCAACCTCCCTACTGCAGATACCTCCTACAGGTACCAGAAGATGGGCTGCTGCTACCAGAGCTGCAGAGAATGCCAACAATTTACTCAGAACACCACTGCACTGAGACAAACGAGCAGAGTTTTCCTTTAGAGAGTTACCTATGATAGATTACAAGCAACAATAGTGAGCTACTTTAAAAAAATATATTAAGATTAGGAAAAGCGAGCATTGCTCCCTTGCATTTATCATGTTAAATGAACTGCTTTTTGGCTCCCCAAAGGCTCCCACCTCTCTGGATACTTCCTGAAATTAAGTTAATGTATTACAGAATAGAAACTTCCTCCCCTCAAAGCAAGTTTGGTTTTTTTTTTTTTGCACAAACCTTAGACACCAAGATGATCGAGCTGGGACCTATCTGCCTTATACTCATTTATTTTAGAGAAAATAAAATTTCCAATTTCCTCAACATGCAAGACAAAAAATAATAAATTTTCCAGTCAACTATATATATCTCTTTTTTTTTAAAAAAAAAAAAAAGGAAAAAAAAAAGATAGGGTCAGTAATGTGGATTACTGGGGGCCATTTTCGATGGGCTCAAGGGATTGGAACGGTGAATTCTAAGCCTAGCCTGCATGAGAGAGACATCACAATGGGAAAGAAGAGAAAGAAAAGGTTCCTTTAAATGCAAGAGGTCTAACACTGGTCACCAGCAGGCGAGTGGTCTCATTTGCGTGAGGGTGGAGGGGGTGGGGGCGGGGGTGGGTACTGGTAGGTGGCAGTCTGTCCCATATAGCCCATCACATTAGTGGCAGGGGGCTGAGGAAACTGTTGTGACATGAGCGGCTGCGGCTGCTGGCCTGAGCGCCCCACCATCCCTGCATACTGCTGTTGGGTAGTGCTCTGTGAGGTTCTCCCAGCGGTGGCAGCTGTGGTGCTGGCACCATAGCCACTAGCACTGTACTCCGCAGTGCCATAGCCACTCGTGCCATAGGCAGCTGCTCCATAGCTCCCTTGAGTGTAACCATACTGGCTCTGTGCTGCCCCAAAAGCGGAATTTGGGCTCCCGTAGGCACTGCCATAGGTCTTGTTGGCTCCGTTGGCGTAACTGTCACCACGCTCACGGTCTCTGAAGCCACCTGAGTCTCTCCGGCCCTCTTTCACTCCCCGGAGCCTCCTGTCACACTCTTCCTGGTACATCAGGTTAGGGTTGTTTACTGAACTGCTCGTTCGGTAACGAGAACGACCTCCTGGCGACGGATACATTAAGATTCAGTACCGTGAACAAGTTTTCAACAACGAACTCTGGTAATTATTGCCACCCTTTCTCCCCCTTCTACAGGCAGGGCACTGCCCACAAGGAGCAAAGCCATTCGCCTGACTCGCACAGTTTGTGTGCATCCATCCCTGCGTTTTATTCAAGGTGTAGCTATGAAGCTCAGGAAGTGTTAATGAGCGCACTGGGAGACAAAGGAAACAGAAGTAGTATAGGACTAGCTTAGGGATGTAATGAAACTTATTATTCCTTCAGGGAGAGGAGGAAGAAATAGTCTCAGCCACTGAAGGTGAAGTCAGAAAACCCATTCCCTGATTTTAATTGCACTTGTGCATGCACACGCATCCTGCATCTGTGTCTAGGTAGGAGCTACAAGAAATTAATTACTTCATGTAGAATTAGCTCCTTGAGGATATTATTGGGGGAGGGAGGGGGGGAAAAAGAACCAAAAATCTGACTAAGCTATAGTAGTGGCCTACTAGCTTGTAAAAAAGAAATACTTATAGAACACATGGAGATCTCAGGTATGAAACAAATGTACTGCTGACGTTTTATCCTAAAGTTTCACTTATTACTTCCTCATCCTCCTTCGATCTTCCCTCCCTCAAAATGGGAACCTACTCCCTACGCAGCCCCTCCCCCAGTTGTTTTTACCTCCACCACCACCTCCTCCTCCTCTGTGGTCCACAAGCTGCATCAGCTTTGGATTGATGGCTTGATTGGCTTCTTCCAACACTTTGATAAGCTCCCTGGCTTGTTTCAGGTTTCCTGGTGTGAAGAACGTGTACGCGGTACCTTTGTTGGTACTGCGCGCGGTGCGGCCAATGCGGTGCACGTAATCTTCAGAGCTGTTCGGATAGTCGTAGTTTATCACAAATTTAACGTCTTCCACATCTTGAGAAGTGCCCGGGTGCGAAGCACAGTGAAAGGGTGGGGTTGAGGAAAGGGGAGAAGAAGAGAGGACGTGCCAACGAAAGGTGGGGAGCACGAATGCAGGTGACAGTAATAAGAAAAAAAAAAAAACAACACCAAGTTAGCAAATGCGTGGAATAGATACAAGACAGACTCATCCCAAAAGAGTAGAAGACTCGGATTTGAGATCATTGGGAACAAAGACCAGCGTCCTGAAAAACAGTGGTAGATTTCAAGCAGCTTCTCCCTGCACTCAAATTCATCCTCCCCAGAATGCATTTCTCTGTATTCCAGCCTTAAATTCATTGATGTTGGTGAACAAGCTGAGCTCTGTACTTTTTTTTTTTTTTCCAAAGCACAATCCTGATGGTGAAAACCACACCATCTGACACAGCAAACTGGGGTGGAAGAAGGGAAGGACTGCCACTGTCAAGCTTTTACTCTGTTGGGAGAAGTCTAACAAGTAATAACAGTAATGAGATCACTTACCTTCCATTTGGTAACATGAAATAAAATGCAAGTCTTACAAATATTTACTTTTACAATCCTAACGAAGATACGGTGAGCTACTTCCCCTGGCCTCAAGTTTAAGGCTCTCCAATCACACTACTATTCAGACAACTCATTAAAAACTGTACAGATCGTACCTACGGTATCTTAACTTAGCTGCATAGTTATCACAAGAAGGCATTGCACTAACATTTCACTGTGCTGTTCTGTCCACTTCGGGCAAGCTTTGGCAATTTGGGCCATCCTGCATTCTGTTTACAGTTCCCAACTTCCCACATCAGATTGAAGCAGGAAGTGAAGGGATCAAAACTGCTGGGTAAAGAATACTAAAAGAGATTGGAGCCGCACACCTTCCG